TGCTGCTCACATGGCGGAGCAAGAGAGCCGCGTTTCTGCAACTCTTTTCCTCCCTTTTCTTCATCTTCCTCATCTTCTGTATCCAGAAGGCAAGTCAGGCTCAGACGGATTCCTCCACGGCAGTCTTGCGTGATCCTAAGCCCCTGGTGGCGCTGGCAATTCCTCCTTGCGAGGAAAAGTACTACATAAAGCTCCCCTGCTTCGACTTCCTTTGGAGCGGGAATGAGAGCCAGAGAGTTGCAAGTATCGTTACAGCGATCATGGCGAATAATCCTGGAAGGCCGATTCCCGATGGCAAGGTATTTTCTCAGCGATCTTGCTGGTTCTCGAGAAAATGTGATGAGAAACTTGAAATTTTCTATTTACTCTTTTAACAGTTACTAGAAATAAATAGTTGTTGTAAAGCGGTTACAAAAGTAAGCAGAAAATTTAGTGGCGTTTTCTTGCTTGAGTTTTCGAGAAAGTAAAATCCTATTAATTTTTCGACTAGTGATTATTTATTAACTTCCCCGTTTTGATTTTATGTGTTAAGTGAGATTAAAGAAATTTTGAGATTGTAATGAAATGCTAGGATTTTGAGAGATTCAATTGTTGATGCTGCAATTGCCTTCTCTGCTTGGTTGATTAGAAATTAGAGGAATAAGACTGGAAATTTATATGAAAAATTCGTTTCTCTTTTCCTTTTTCTTTCTAGTTTGTTTGATTTTGTTGTTCTGAATTGAGATCTTAAGACTGCTATTTGTGGTGCAGGTTAAATCATTTAAGACAGGTGATGAAGTAGATGAATGGCTTTTCAATAATCAGATGCGAGTCCCTGGAGCTTTGCACTTTTTAGATAAAAATGCTACCACAATTAGCTATGGATTGCAGACTAATTCAACTCCTGTTCAAAAGCGAGGGGAATATGAAGATCCAACATTCAAATTTCAGATTCCTCTTCAGATTGCAGCTGAACGTGAAATTGCTAGGTCATTGATAGGAGGTACTATAATTGGTTACGGTTGTTATGTTCAGCAGTTGCAAAGAAGTTCTCATTTTTCTCTGTTTAATTATATTACATTAAAATTTTCATTTTGCCTCTGTGATTACATGTTCAGATCCAAACTTTAGCTGGTCAGTTGGATTTAAGGAATTTGCTCATCCTGCCACGGCAACTTTCTCTATATTTGCTGCACTGGGACCAGCATTTTTCCTTGCAATTGCAGAGTTTAATTTTGTATTTCAAATTGGTCATTTGGTTGCTGAGAAAGAGCTTAAACTTCGGCAGGTTGGTCTTGAGTTTTCTCAGTTTCGAAGTAAGCTTAGCCATCTTAGCCATCATGCTTTACCGTAGAAAATTGTTTATTTATTGTGGATTTTTCCGTACAGGCAATGACTATGATGGGTCTTTATGATTCTGCATACTGGTTTTCATGGCTTGCATGGGAGGGAATTATGACACTTCTATCATCTCTTCTTATTGTTCTCTTTGGAATGATGTTCCAGTTTGACTTTTTCTTGAACAATGATTTTGCAATTCTGTTCCTCCTCTTCTTCCTTTTCCAACTTAACATGGTAAATATTTGCACCCTAATACTTGTTACGATTGCGTGTTTTTCTTCATTTTATGCTTATTTTTGGTGTTTGGTGCTACAGTTGAAGTTGAACAAGCATGTACTTAATCTTTACTCTTGATTGCCCTTTTTAATGATGCTAGGTTGGTTTTGCCTTTCAACTCTCACCCTTTATTAGCAAGTCATCTTCAGCCACAAGGGTGGGATTCTCCATATTTATAACTGGTTTTTTGACTCAGGCAAGGTTCCTCTGCTTAGTATTGGAAATGGAAATATATGTTCTATTGGTTTAACCATATGTTCTATCGTTTTAATATTTCTTACTGCAGATTACCACTACAAGTGGATTCCCATACAGTAAAAACATCAGTCCTGTTATTCGAATCATCTGGTCATTTTTCTCACCTAATCTTCTTGCTCAAGGTATAAGTATTCTTGCTGGTGCAACTGAAACTCCCGAAGATATAGGAGTTAGCTGGAGTAGACGAACAAAGTGTGCACCAAATGATGATGGGTGTGTGATAACAATGGTTTGTCCCTGACCCAAATCTGGAAAATATTGACAGTGTTTCACATTATTTCTTCGGGAGACAAGTTGCTTTAGCTTCTTTGTTTAACAATTGGCATTGGTCATTTTTCCTTGGTTCACTTCAGCCTCCAACCTGAACTGTTCTCATTGTGGCTATCTAATTGGTCTTTTATATTTTTTTACAGAATGATATCTACATATGGTTGTCAGCCACCTTTTTCCTCTGGGTTCTTTCGGCGATCTACTTTGATAACATAACCACAAATGCATCTGGTGTGAGAAAATCGATATTTTACTTTTTGAAGCCTAGTTATTGGACAGGGAAAGGTGGAGAGGTAGAAGGTAATTGAGTTCCAAATCTAACCTGAACTCGACTACCTCTTGTTAATTGATGTGTTCGATTTATGTTTTT